GCAGGGTTCGCAAGGCGGCCCCGCCCCATTTTGGCGCACCCCGCACGCGCTTCGTCGCCCCATAAGAAGGCTCAACCGAAGGCCCCAGTGGCAGGGTTCGCATGGCGGCCCCGCGCCGTTTGGCACACCCCCCACACGGTTCGCGGCCCCATAGGGAGCTAGCTCCACCGAAGGCCCCAGCGACAGGGTTCGCATGGTGACCCCGCCTCAGGTTGGCGCACCCCCCACACAGTTTGTGGCCCCATAGGGAGCTCCACCGAAAGCCCCAGTGGCAGGGTTCGCATGGCGGCCCCGCGCCAGTTTGGCGCACCCCTCACACGGCTCGTGGCCCCATAGGGAGCTCCGCCGAAGGCCCCAGCGGCAGGGTTCGCATGGCGGCCCCGCGCCATTTTGGCGCACCCCTCACACAGTTCGTGGCCCCATTGTGAGCTCCACCGAAGGCCCCAGTGGCAGGGTTCGCACGGCGGCCCCGCCCCATTTCGGCGCGCCCCTCACACGGCCCGTGGCCCCACAGCGGACTCCACCGAAGGCCCCAGTGGCAGGGTTCGCAAGGCGGCCCAGCCCCATTTTGGCGCATCCCGCACACGGTTCGTGGCCCTATGGGGAGCTCCACTGAAGGCCCCAGTGGCAGGGTTCGCAAGGCGGCCCCGCCCCATTTTGGCGCACCCCGCATGCGCTTCGTCGCCCCACAGGGAGCTCCACCGTAGGCCCCAGCGGCAGGGTTCGCATGGAGGCCCCGCCCTATTTTGGCGCACCCCGCACACGGTTCGTGGCCCCACAGGGAGCTCCACCGAAGGCCCCAATGGTAGGGTTCGCGCGGCGGCCCCGCCCCATTTTGGCGCACCCCTGCGGTTCTCGCACTTGCACACGGTTGGGCCCTTCGCCCGGATATTGTGATGTCTGGTCTTGGGCGCCCCCGCCGATGCCACTGCTGTCGGCGCCGTCGCGGTGGTTCATGGGGGCGGTGTTCCTCTCGTCTGCTGGACCCACTGCGCCCTGGCCGTTGTCCGCCGCGAAGCGCGCGGAGCGTCGCGGTGCGGACTGAGGTCGGCTCTGCCCCGCGCGCCTGCTGTGCACGCGAACTCCCCCCGAAGGCGGGATGGGGGACCTCGGCGGCAGTGGCGCTGCCCTGTTCGGCGGGGCGTCGATGTGAAAGGTCGGTGCTGCTCGGAAGTCGACCGGCGCCATGCACTCCGTTGGTGATATGGCTGCTTCCCCTGGGGGGAGCGCATGGTATCGTTTCTGTTGTCACTGTTGGTTGAGCGAACCGTTCTTTTCAGTCTGCGATCGGCGCCGGTGCCTCGTCGCCCTCGAAGTCGCCGCGCTGGACATGGAACTTCTCAGACCAACTGAGGTAGCAGTCGCCGTTCCTCGGCTGCGTTGAGGCTGGCCCTCATGGCTCGACTTGAGGTAGCATCTGTTCGTTGCGCGGCCCAGGTCGTGCGATTTGACAGGGCCGTCGGCGCCAGGCGAGGTGGCCGGGCGTTCGTCTTCTGGCGCCGACCTAGCTACGTTGCCCAAGTTCTTCTCGCGGTGGAGTTCGCCCCTCTGGGCCTGGGCGCCGTGGTCCTCGATGTCAGAGATCTCGGAGTCAGGGATGGCGATGAGCCGGGCTCTCGAGCCATCATCTTGCAGCGTTTTCCCTTGCGGCGCCTGCAGGAGGGCAGCGATGGAGTCAGCGCCACAGCGCCGCCTGAACTGGTTGGCGAGGTCGCGGGCGAAGTCTGCTTCTCGTTCCTTCTGCATTGCGTGGATATCTGCGCGGGCGTCCCCGAGTTGTCGGGCACGGCGTTGCCTCTGCGCCTCTGCGACATGGTGCTTATTGCAAAGCTGCTGGAGAATGTGCCCCCGTGACTATATAGAGGTTTTGCTGCGTGGAGCTGGGGGGGGAGGGGGGTCGTAGCTTACACGTTCCGCTTGTAGCTCCCCTGTCGCCGCGCAGGCTTCTGTGCACTGGCGGAGCTGGGCGGCGCGGTTCTGCGCGCCCTCGGTCCGCCCTTCCAATACCATGATGGCTTCGATCTTGTCATGTCACTGCTTCTCCTCGGCGTGCATAATTTGATTTTGCCCGTAGATCTCGTTCTCGAGGTAGCGGATTCGTTGCTCTGAGAGGTTGCAGACGCTCTGGATGCGCTTGCTGGCCTGATCCTCGATGTTTACATTCTTAGTTTCGGCCTTTGCGAGTTCTTGTCGTAGTAGATAGTGTGCGTGCTGCTGTTTATGGAGTTGATGCGCTGCACCCCTTGTCTGTTGTAAGTCGCTGATGATGATCTGGCGCCTGTGCTCTAGGCGCTGCATGGCTTCATCTTTCTCTGCCAAGCTCTCCTCGAGGGCGCTGCACTTGATGATCGCATCCGCGACTCGTGGCTGCCGTGGTTGACGCATCTGAAGTCGCGCTTCTTCCAAGGCTTTTTGCAGGAGTTCGCCGGTGGCGGCTGTCCCTTGGTTGTTCTCGTAGCGTCGCCTTGATGATTGGGAGATGTTGTCGATGCGGCCTACGGCCTGCCGCGCGATGTCGTTAGCCTCGCGGAGCTCGTTCTTGAGATTCTCGAAGGTGATGCTGTCTGTCTCGGTCCTGTGCGCTGTGTGCCCTGCGATCTTCTCGGTTGCCGCCCCGATGATGTGGATATCTTTCTCGTGCTCCTCCATCTGATCACGCTCGAAGCGCTGGAGCTTGCGGCGGCTTTCCTTTCCGTGCTTGTAGTGGGACTCCTTCGTTTCCTCGAGCTGGTTGATGGTGGCTTTTTGCTGTGCGGCATGGCTTCGTCGTACCTCATCTTTCTGCTGTGCTGCTTGGAGTTCTTGCCGCAGCTCGTTGACGGTGGAGACCTCCGTGGGTGCTTGAATCACTGGTGACGCTGGTGACGTTTCTCCCATGCATCCTCTGCGCCGTCTCCCGATGTTGGGCGCTGGGGTGTCGGAACGTCATTGCTTCGCGCGCCTCCTGGGCGTCGTCGATGATTCGGCGTCGGCGTCGTCGTCCGAGCCGGCCCGCCCGGCGCCGTCGCGGAGCCTTCGAACCTGGCGAAGTCGATCTCCCAGCAGTGTGACTTTTTGCTGTACTTCCTCCAGCTGGTGATGCGCGTCGCCCATCTGGGCGACGGCGTCATTGATCATGTTCTCAACCTCTTTCCGTTGATCCTTTGCGTCGTGTGAATATAGCAACGTGGATTTCTGTAGTCGGCTCTTGGCGACAACGCCGTTGAAGTCGTAATCGTCGTCGGCGCGCCTCTGGGTGGTGGTGATGAGATAGCGACGTCGGCCTTGCAGTTCTTGCGGCACCCATTGACTTGATCGGAGCGGTGCATTGGCGGTTCCAGCGCTGCTGCCTCCTGGTTTCGGCGCGGGTCATGGGGGCGATGTTGGCAGCAACATAAACATATATATATATAGAGAGAGAGAGAGAGATTATCTTCTCCTGTCTGAGTTGCACGTTGAGGCTATGCTGTTGTTGTTTTTGTGTTTGCTGCTGGCGCTGCTGTCCCATGGAGCTGCTGCTGCCCGCGCCGCGGGTGTCGTCACGGCTGCGGGCGCGCCATTGTGTCCGAGGGGGTCCTGTGGTGTCCCATTGGTATTGCTCGCGTCGGTGCTGGTACTGCTGCTGGCGCCACTGTTTGTTATGGTAGCTGCCGACTGGAGTCTGGGCCATTTGGGGCGCCATGGTGGTGTCGGGTGGTCGAGGTGGTTGCTGAGCGCTGTGGTGGTCAGCGAGCAGTTGGCGTGCTCGGTCGAAGCGGAGGAGCACTCGAGCGTCGGCGCGCTCGCGGTGTAGGCGACGGTGCTAGGCAGGCGCCCTTGGCCGTCGGGAGGTCCGCTGGAGTGAGGACGTGGTGGCCCCGTAGTCTTAGTCGAGGTCGATGAAGACGCCCTTGGAGAGCTTGTAAAGATCGGTATGGATGATCAAAAGCACATAGCAAAGAACACTTGGAGATCTGAGCGCCGTAGACGTGGAACGGCTGGTACACTGTGAAGAAATAGTGGGCAAGGTACTTCTTTTCCGTGGGCGCATGGCGCCGCGATGGCCGCTGCCCGGCCGTGGCGGGGGGAGCGCTCCTTCCCTCCCGGCGACCTCGGACAAACGCATCCTCCTCCTCCTCCTCCTCCGCCTCCTCCTCCTCCTCCTCCTCCTCCTCCTCCTCCTCCTCCTCCTCCTCCTATTCCTCCTCCTCCTCCTACTCCTCTTACTCACCCCAATTGAGTCACTCAGCCGCGTGCCACCCTTTTGTGCCTCTCTCTCCCCCTTCCTTTGCCACGCCCTATTCCCCCTTTTCGCGCTGCTCGCTCCACTGTCCCATCCCAGTATTCACTGTCGGAGTTATTCCCAGTACCCACATGCTCATCCAACCTGGCGCGTTCTCGCCTTTACCATCTACCTCTGTTCCAGGTTACAACCTCCACGCAAGGTGGGTCAAACACCAGCCCATTGATTGACGCTATCCCCCTCACGTGTGACTGGTCCAGACTTCCCTCGCTGTCCCTCTGTCCTCACACGCTTTTCTGCTACCCGACTGCACGCCCGTTATGTCTCTCGCCCAGGCCCTTCAAAGAAGGTCTAACGCACTCAAAGCCAATCTCGGAAAATCATCCGCACACACACATTGAGATGTCACGCTCTGGCCTGAAACATGTTACGCGAGTCCGCACCACTTCGGGACGGGCGATCATCACACCCATCCTGACGTCAGACACCAGCCACTTTCGAGGCTGAATAATCCGCCAGTGTCATCCACCCTCTTCCTCCTCATCCTCCTTCTCCTCCTCCTTTTTCTTCTCCTCCTAATCCTCCTCCTCATGATTCGCCTTTTCCTCCTCCTCTTCCTCCTCCTCCTCCTCCTCCTCCTCCTCCTCCTCCTCGTGCTCCTCCTCCTCCTCCCCCTCCCCCGGCCCCTCCTCCTCCTCCTCCTCCTCCTCCTCCTCCTCCTCCTCCTCCTCCTCCTCCTCCTCCCCCTCCTCCCCCTCCTACTCCACCTCCTCTGGCTGCCCAGTTGCTGACCGAGCGCCTCCTCCAGCGCTGGCTTCCGCTTCTTGGGCAGCACCTCCGGGGGGGGGGAGGGAGAGAAGGCGAAACCCGGCGGGCGCCAGGAGCCCCGTGCCTCAGCGCTCCCACCCTCGCAGCTCACGGGCGGCAGCGCACAGAACCATCAGGCTCCCCTCTGCCGTGCACGCCTGCGCCTGTCGGGCAGGAGTCCTGCGGCCACCGTGCTACTAGAAGGAGCGCAGACGTAGGAACGAGGGAGCCTTTCCGGCCGCGGCGGGCCGAGGCTCTCAAACAGATTCTACGACATGAGTTTTAGGAGCAGCCCGAGTACCCAAAGCCCATCCTGAGCCCAAAGTTGTCCTTATCTCAGCATCTCGACTGCGAGCCGCACGGGGGTCCCAGATGCACCAACCCCGGTGGGGCCACAGACACGGAAGACGATGGCTGCTGTGGAGACGCGGTAGTCCTGCATGTTGGGAGGCGTACACGTCGTTCATTTCTGATCGTGCTCATCTCTAATTGCGCTCGTTTCTAATTGTTCCTGACCCCTAGTGGCCAGAAAGAGGCCCAGGATTAAACAATTAGAAATGAAAGGATCTTGGTTCTTGGCCCCCAGAAAATCAAAGAACTTTCGAAGAATGAGAAATGAACGATGTGTATCTTTACACCCACCTATCCGGGGCGAGTTCTGTTAGGGATTGCGCGGGCCTCAACGGCGATGGCTCAGCTGCCGACAGGGGGTACGAATCCCGCCCGCCACGTCCAGGGCGCACTTGGACGGGCACGGGCGAGGCCGCCACTGTTTGGTTCAGGCACCGCCGGCACCCCACACCTGCCGTGGGGCAACGAGGGGAGTGGGCGGGTGCAGGGCGACACCCCGCCTGGCCCCCGCACCCCCTCCCTCTGCAGTGTCGGCGTCCCCCAGCCCACCCCACTTGAAGCTTTTTTGCCTCGGCATCTGGAAACTTCCGCTTCGAGCCCCGCTCTGGTGCCGTCGTCCAAGTCCTGAGTCTCCTCGGCCCCAGAAATTTCTGGGGGTCAAAATCTGATTTCCTGCGGCCTGATCGGTGTTCCAGAATAACGTTGAGCCGCTTGGCCTGATACCTTCGCAAATTCTCGTTGCCCCGAAATTTCGTCTACCAATTTGGGCCTTGGATTAGTTCCCGGATTTTTCAAAGGCCCACTTGGCCACGGGAACGCAGACGACCGCAAGCGCGCCACCGCTGGGACCATACGTGAATCCCCCCACGGTGCACGATCCGTGCGAGGGAGTTGCCGAACTGATCTCGGCGTTCGCAGGAACAGCAGCGGGTGGCAGCGACGCGACGACAGCAGCATACAGTCGGCAACGCAGCAGCGGCGCCAACGGCAGTGGGAGGCGGGAGGAAGAGGAGGAGGAAAACATAGGGTGCTGCGGAGGGAAAGCGAAGGACAAATCAACTACACAGTATTGAAAGACAGATCGATGCCACAAAAAACATGGCACAAATTACATACCGGGGAAATAAATTCGTGTATAGATGCACTCATTCCTCCGACGGAGGCCCACCAAGATAAAGGACACACTCTAGCCCAAGAGGACCCCGAAGAAGCCTCAGGAGGGGCCCAAAAGGGGGAGCTCGAACCTACATGTCGAGCCCTCCGCCCCAGGAGGAGCCCCGAGACCGCCAGCAGGCGCCCAACATACCCCCAGTAGGTGCCAAGAGGCCCCTGAGAGGCCCAAAAGATGCCCCAATAGGCACCTCAACCTTCTCCCAAGGGGCAAGAAGTTTCACCCGCGGACTTCGTCTCTGAGCGCCCACTGGGCTGAGGGGCGTGCGAGACTTACAGGGCAGTTTTTAATTTAATACATCGGATTTTAAACATATGGGATTTTTTAATACATGATTAATGTATGAATGAATTGTTTCATGAGCTCATCGTTGTTTTTAATACTAAATCCCTGCATGTTTAATACATGATCCGCACGCGGAGCATGTATTAAAAACGGCACTGTAACTGCGAGAGCTCCTTACAGAGCTTTGGCCACCTCGTTCCATCCCCCCAGAGGGGTTCGCCACTCCGCCGCCCCCAGCTGCGCCATCGACTCTCTTCGAGCCCCAAAGGCGGCTTCCAGGCGGCGTCCAAAACGAGCTCGCACTTCAGACCGCTCCTGATACGTCTTCGGAGCGCATTTGGACTCCATGTGGGCCGCTTCGGCCCCCCCCCTTCGCCCTCACACTCGCCTCCCGATCCGAGCCTAAAACGGTCCAGATCCTGGCCGTGTGGTGATGACATGCGGACGGGGCTGTGGATCAACGCGGAGGGAGGAGGAGGAGGAGGAGGAGGATTTGGGAGCAGGAGGAGGAGGGGGAGGAGGGGAGGGGGAGGAGAGGGAGGAGGAGGAGGAGGTGGAGGAGGAGGACGGGGAGGGGGGAGGAGGAGGAGGAGAGGAGGAGGAGGGAGGAGAGGAGGAGGAGGAGGAGGAGGAGGTGAGGGAGAGGAGGAGGAGGAGGAGGAGGAGGAGGAGGAGGAGGAGGAGA